CACACTGCTTTAACAGAGGCATAGACCCACTGCTTCCAAGAGTTGGTGGTACACATGGTTCCCCAAGAGCTGGCAGTGAATGTATTTCCACCATGTTGGAAAGCTGAGGTGGGCGGAGCCAGTAGCCAAAGCTGCCATTTCAGTCCTAGTCATGCTGCAGTTTAAAGCAATAGAGTCACAGTAAGACATGTTCAGATGGGATAAACCCTGAACAGTTTACAGTGTGTGTAAAAATGTATGTAGGCTTAAAAGAAAGAGAAAAAGGAGGATGGACAGCTATATTAAAAAATGGATAGTATTAAAAAATAAAGTCTTTAAAGAGAAAGTAAAAGTAATATAAAAATAGGTCATGTAAAGATGGAAATCACACAGAGAGTCTGGATTATGTTGTCTTTAGGATTTTTAACTGCAGAGAGACATTTGTTTGTAAAAACTGCTGAGTTAAATCAGTATGTATATTTCAAAAGTATCTTGACTTCAAAATGTGTGTCTATGGATATGTTGCTTTGGTAAGGAGGTTCTGCTTTTGTTTCCACAGAAGATGAGAACCTGTGGATTGCTTCCAGGCTAATGTGGTTTGACGAGCCAAGGCCCCTTGAAAGGTCTCTGATGACACCATGGCCCAGATGGTCCAACATCCAGAACAGCTTCAAGACAACTGGCTCAGACAATGCAGCCTCACAGACTATTCCAGTCACTTGACCATAATTCTTAATTTTCTCAGGATCCCCATAAGAATACAGCACCCTTTATCAGCAGAAGTAGCCTAGAAAACTATGCCCATATTCCCAAAAAATGGATTATGAATGTTTATCTTTGTTTAGGTTGTTGGTTACAAATTGTTATTGGTAATAGTCAATATCTTTCTAAAAGAAGAAAGGGGGATATGATATGAAAATATAGAATATAGATATGATAGGATAAAAGGGTGGATTATTGAACCTACTTTTAAAGAACAACTTGTTTAAAATGTTTTACATTGGTATAGATTTTAGTTTATTTATACAAATTTAAAGTTAATTTTGTTATACTGTATATATATATATTTCTACTCTCATTTAAGGTATTGTGTTTATGTAACTCATTTAAATTAAAATGGATAATTAAGAAATACAGATTAATAATTAGTTTTCTACAATAGTCAAACTTATAGTCATGTTGAGTTTTCTAGATATACATAAATATAATTCAATTAGGTAGGTAAACTTCAAAGACCTGCAGAATATGGGATTTAAAATGTTTTAAAAACTTAGACTTTCTGGACAATAAGACACGTCTGCTCCTGGCAGCAATGATTTACTTCAGAGAGAAAGATGGGTGTCAAAGACACTCCATATGGAATTTGTCTTCTTCTTGGCAAAAATAGCCATTTGGGAAAGAAACTGTTCTTGCCTGGACTGCTTGACAAAATGTTGTCTCGACTGGACATGCAGGACTCATAAGAAGGTGACCACTGAACTTTGCAAGGCAAAATGGTCCTTCAGGTTCCTGCTTTGCAGAATAAACTGCCAGACATTCTACAAGACACAGAGAAAAGTGACTGAGAGTGACTAAAAGTGACTAGGCCTATGCGCTAAATGTGGATGCCCCAACATTGCAGAGGAACTTTGGATGACTGTCCAGGCAGACAGCTGTCTCTGTCATTCTAGATTTTTGGAAGTTGCTTACAATGCTCTTCCTGTTTACTTAGGTAATATATATCCTTCTGAGGTCTTTGATGTAGTTGAAGACTAGATAGTTATAATTATGGTGTTCCTTGTTTATGATAAGAGATAAGGTAGATATGAAACCTTGGACTCACAAATACAGAATAGATAGGATATCTTCTTTGATTTTGCCAAATACAAATAGACTAGATATTTTAACTATAATTCTTGCTTTATTACTGTTTTGTTATCTATAATTTTACTATGTTAAAGTTAAACCTTTCCTTTTTAATTAAACAGAAAAGGGAAAATACTGTGGAATAATGCTTTTGTACACTGGTTTAATAAAATGCTCATTGGCCAGTAGCCAGGCAGGAAGTATAGGTGGGATAAGCAGACAAGGAGAATTCTAGGAAGAGGAAGGCTGAGTCCCACCATCCAGGGAGCAGCATGAAATGGCACTCAGGTAAACCACGGAAAATGTGGTGACATATAGATCAACAGAAATAGGCTGAGTTTAAGTGTTAAGAGCTAGTCAGTAGTAAGCCTGAGCTAATGGCCAAGCAGTTTTAATTAATATTAAGCCTCTGTGTGATTATTTTATAAAAGGCTGCAGGACTGTGGGTGAGAGATTTGTCCTGACTGTGGGCCAGGCAGGACACAGGAAAACTTCCAGCTACAAAACACGGTGAGTGGCATGTCCTAGGTTGGCACAGCTCCCATCACTGGACTGCCAATGTGCAGCCAGGCTGGTGACAACTCCCAGGGTGTATGTTCCTGGGTGCTCACATATGTCTGAGACACTGTGATGGAATCTAGGACTTGATGGAGGATGAGAATGAATAGATGGAGGGCTGTTGGCAGACAGAAGTCAGAGATGATCCCCATCATAAGAGTCGTGCCCAGTGAGTGTCCCAGGCACCTGGTTCTCTGTGGAAAAGGCCATACCTGATGCTGGCTTCCCACTTGCTCTCATGATGAGATAGATATCTCAGCTCTGGGATAGAGATTTCCTGCCTTTTCTGTGTTATTCTCAGTTTAACTTCTTCTTAAACGACTGCATAAGGGAAGGAGGGGTGGACACAGGCAAAGTAGCCTTTCTTACTCTTTCCAGACCACTGGCCACAGGACCCTCAGGCAGAAGGCTGCAGAAAGCCCCCTCTTACAAGGGGGTAAGGGCCAGCTCTTTCCCTTGCTGAGGTAGGGCTTAAAGGCTAGACCTGCATGTCAGACATCCTTTCAGCTCAATTACAGAAGATTGCCTTATCTCATTTATTTTCTCCTATATGTTTGAAGTTAGGCAGCTTTAATTTGAAATGGAAATTCATGCAAATACTATGTAAATTAGGTCATTCCCAGATTAACTAAGGTGGGGGGAATCTGGTCGCTATAGCAAGCACCATCTGTTCCCTCCTTATTCTTTCCATATCTGAACCCCACCCTCCCCTTTCCCAATCAACTTTGAAACTTGTTTCCCCAGGGCTAAGAGATCTTTCGAAGGAAGAAACCCAACGCCTGTGTTTCTCAGCTGAGCCCTTCCACTGCTTGCTTTGTGAGGAAGGACGGTGAGAGTCAGCTCGGTGTGAATGGTTCCAGGTGAGCCGCCACACCCCACCTGAGGCGCCTGCTCCTCCTGCTTTTCTATCCTAATCCCCTCCCTCCTTTTCCCTATCAGCTGAGGTCACCCTCTTGCCTCCTCTGTGGCACAGGTCTGGGAGCAGTTTGATTCCTGCAGAGTCTGAGGTGACTTTGGATTCTGCATGTGTGCATTGAATGAGGACTCAACGCCCACAACAGCATTTCCTGTCCCCTCCCCGATGACTGAGCCACACCTTCCCGGGGGACAGTGATAATCCTGCCTGCTCTAGACAGAACAGGCATCCTAGGACATCTGCAGTCTAAGGAGGCATCTCCCGCAGCCTTTAGCTTCCTTTCGCCCACCAAGGCTCTCTGTGATGTGGACAAGAGGCCACCTGGCTCCTCCTCCAGGGCCACTCTATTCTTTTTGTTTTGTTTGTTTGTTTTGTTTTTCGAGGCAGGGTTTGTCTGTGTAGTTTTGGTGCCTGTCCTGGATCTGACTCTGTAGACCAGGCTGGCCTTGAACTCACAGAGATCCATCTGGGATTAAAGGCATGTGCCGCCACTGCCTACTCCATTAAGTAACAAATGATAGGTCTTTTTGTTGCTGTTTGTTATTGAGATTTTGAGGTTGCTTGTTACTGCAACAAAACTTGATGAGAGCTGACTCACATGCTCTGTAATCATCAAACTCGGCCACCCCCAGCCCCCCACTCCCCCGCAAGTTGCCTCAAATTAAAAAGAAATCCTTAATGTTCTCTTGTGATATTTTATAATACTAGGCCAAATGAAAATAAGACCATCTTTGTTTTCTTGACTCATAATAATGGCTGTACAAAATGGACTTGCATAAGTAGCTTTGAAACTAGACCTCCAAGAAAAGAACAGTTCAAGCAAAGGCCCTGAGGCAGAATATGAGGAGCTGAGGTTTACCTTCACTGGGAAATGGTAGGCAGTGGGCTCACGGGCATGAGCTCCAGTAAAGGTGCAATTTCAGGACGGAAGCAGAAGGTGGCACCGTGGCACCTTCATGGGCGTTATGGCCACACGGTGGTATGACACGTCTCACTTCTGAAGTGTCTGTGTCCTTGAAGCAAACCATGAGTCAGAGCTGGGACAACTTTGGAAATGTCTTCGTCTATGACATGGCCTTGTGGGATCATGGTGCCTGTGTCTCTCTTCCAGGACTCTGGAGCTCCCCTGACTGTCAAGTGCACTTTGGGGGGGGGGGGACAAGGCTTCCCCTTCATGGGGGCTCATTTCCTCCCAAATGGTGAAGGACCTCTGACTCCAACCAGTGCTCCCATCCTGATGGATTTTTCCTGACTTTCCTCAGTAGCAGGCAGCCTACACCCCATCCACATCAGGACACGAAGGTCCCAGAGCCAGGAGCCCTGAGCTATCTCAGTGGGCAAAGCCAGAGAAAGCAGCATACAGCCAGGCCTGAGGAGACTATGGTGCTGTTCAGGAAGAGAGTACTTTGGGGCAGCCAGCACACACCCACACACTCTCTCCACTGTCTCCAGCCTGAAGAAGCTAACCTGCCTTTGAATTCCAGAGCTGGTGGTTTTCAAAGCGCCTGCCTGTGTCTATGTAAGACACAGCTGTGTTTAACATGTTTCCTAATTCATGGTCACTTTGTTCAATGGCAAGTTTCTACCCATTGGATAGTCTATACAACTATGTAATTAGTTCACTATAAATCCATTATATCTTAGAGTCTATAGTAAGTCTAATATAATGGGAAATAAGCTAAATGGGAAAGTTTATACTTACAATAGTTAGAGCAACTGCCTGTGGTGGGAGGGAAACAGAGCAGTGTGGAGACGTTTGGTGGTCTCTAGGGGAGGGAAATACATGACGGGCAGGAAGCTGAGGTGGGTCAAGACACAGCAGGAAGGCAGAAGTGAGAGCGTGGGGCTGGCCAAGTGGAACCCAGAAAGAGACCAAGGCTGACTTCTTTGATGAGGCGCAATGCAAATTTAGACTTCAGTTTCTTCTAAATGAAATATACAAAGAGGGAGGGGGGTCCCCAAACAACCTTCTTGCTATTGGTGTTTGAAAATACCCGTTAAATGCAACATTTGCCAATAAGTCCCTTCAATTCCCCATACTCTGGCAGTTTCCCCGGCTCCATCACCGCCACCCCCACCCCCCC